GAAATTTCTCCTCCTATGCAGGGATCGAACACCCGACCTCCAGGCTAGCGGGCCAGCGACTTACCCACTTAGCCACGTGGTCCCCCTGTGGGTCAGAGAGCAAGACGCTGGGTCGCTAACCAGATGGTATCTGGTATGCTTCCAGCGTTACCAGAGGAGATTCCTCAGGGTTTTCTGGTGTGGTTTGCCGTGGTCAGTGGTGCAGGACTGAGGGCTTTACAGGTAAAGGTGTCTAGTCGTTTAGATGGGATAAAAAAAAAAGAGTTCCGGTGGCCTACAAGTAAGAGAACCCTTAAAAGTTAGAAATTGGAAACAAGAGCAGGGCCTCTAATTAGCACACCTCAGTCAAAGCAGAAATGTAGAACATTATAAACCCCATTTCATTTGATTTCATTTTATATTCAAAAGCTCTCAAGTCCTGCAGGAATTTCTATTGATAAATCTTGATCAAGATGCCAATGTCCTTCCGCTTGACACCATAATTAGGGAATGCTCATTCTTATGCTCATTTTGGACAGTACAACAAAGTTTTTTTTGTTTTTGAATTAAGTAAACATTTTTACATGTGATCCTGAAGATCAGAAAATCAAATTGGAGAGAGAGAGAGAGAGAGAGAGAGCAAGAGAGAGAGAGAGAGAGAGAGCTTTAACATCCACTCGAAAACAAACTAGTTTATTTCGGGTTTATATGGTTCCATTTTATTTCAATAATTCGCTTGTGCATAGGGATCATTTGCTGTGGGAGGAAACCAGGGCACCCAGAGAAAACTCACAAGGTTGGTTTGGTCAGGCGACTTAAAATATTGAACCTGAACACATTGTTGACACATGTTTAGTTTCCGATCGACTTTTCTGATCACGATAAAAATATAAAGATATTGACGAGTCAATCGACAAATTAAAACAAGCTTAAGCACAAATCTACTTCATATCATGTCTGAAAGGTCTTCACATGGCTTGAAGCGAGACAAGCTAGCTTCTTATTCTCTTAGACATTGTGGTTAAGTAGCCTCCAGCAAGGACAGACACCAACTGCAATGGATTTTTTCGATGTTAATTAGTTATTTTTCCCCCCGATTGGAATAGGAAAGTAGGACGACAACTCCAGTTTGGATTATTGCCTTAAAGGGAAAGTGAATGGTATTAACTGCGTAGAAATTTTTTGTCCGCTGTCTTGCCGCGATAGGTATTCCAAGTCATTCATATTAAAACCATCTCCTGAAGCTAAGTATTTCACAATACAGACATTTAATGTTAAATATGAAGGAATTTGTTCCAATTTCGACAATACTGGCCCAATTTGGACAATACTAGCCCAATTTCGACAATACTGGCCCAATTTCGACAATGCTGGCCCAGTTTTAACAATAGTAGCCCAATTTTCACAAGACTGCCCCAGTTTGCTGTACATTCCTATATTTTCAATGGTGTTGGATTGCCGAATGGTTAGCATGTGGGTATAGTATCATAGGTCTGTCATTGAGTCACTGGCGTGATTTCGATTCACCAGTTGTACTTGACAAGGAGTAGGGTCGCCTGTCCAACTTCTTGGGTTTTCTCTGGGTCCTTCGGTTTCCTCCCACTGCTAAAGACCCCTATGCACATGTGAATTATTGAAATAAAAATCAAACCATATGTTAGTCCCGAAATGACCTATTTGTGTTGAGTTGACTTTAAATATCATTTCTCTCTATCTCACAATTTAACCTTTGGTGTTAGTTAAAAAAAAAAAAAAAAAAAGTAGGGGAAGTTGGCTGGTCAAATGTTATTAAGTCAAAGGGGTGGATGGCCGAATGGTTAGCATGTTTGCGCTGTATCGTACAGTCTGTCATTGAGTCAACTGGCGTGGTTTCGATTCCCCTGTTGCACGTGACAAGGAGTAAGGTCGCCTGTCTAACCTTGTGGGTTTTCTCCGGGTCCTCTGGTTTCCTCCCACTTCTAAAGACCCCTACGTGCAAGCAAATTATTGAAATAAAATTGTATGGTGTTAGTCCCGAAATGACCTAGTTTGTGTCGAGTGGACGTTAAACCCCATCTCTCTCTCTCTCTCTCTCTCTCTCTGGTTGTCTGGTTTCGATTACCCGCTTTTATGGGACAAGGAGTAGGGTCGGCTGTCCAATTTCCTCCCGTTGCTAAAGACCCCTATGCGCAAGCGAAGTATTCAAATAAAATTCAACCACATGTTAGTCCCAAAATGACCCAGTTTGTAACAAGTGGACATTAAACCCCATTAGTGCTAAATGATAAGGCTAGCTCAATTTTTTGTCATAAGTCACGAGATATAAATGGAGCTAGCACTAATCCCAGCCTTAACCCACAATCTCGCCAACAATTGCATGCCCTAACCTTATTTACATCTCAGCGACCTTGACAAAAATTGAGCTGGCCTTAACAAATAGATTTAGCCCATTGCTCAGAGCTGCAGTGGTTTTCTCTCTATCTCTCTCTGGGTTAAAAATAAACCTAGAAATACAAAAGAAACATATGGCAGTGACACCTGACATGTCATTATCATTATACACACACATATATATATATATATGCTTTCCATATAAACATATATACATAGCAGATATCTGTTAGTTATTGACATTCGAATGTGGTAACATCTGTCTGGACAATACGGCAGGGTTTTACCTCAATACAATCATGTTCTGTATTCACTACCACTATGTCTTCTATTGTTGGTTTGTATTAAGATCGAATAACTTAGCGTTTTTTTTCTTCCTTTTATGGATTTGTGTGTAATAATAATAATAATCCGATTATGTCACCACATCTTTCTCCAGATTCTAGAATCAGGTAGTTGCACTCTACTGATTGATCAGGCCGTATGGATTATTTGTGCAGCTATATAGTTGTGAAACTTTCTGTTTGATGTCATTAATTTGAGGTATCTGAGTTCAAGTACATGTTTTCTTCACTGATTTTGTCACAAATAGATCGATGTGAGTAAAACACAGATCCTATTTCGTTTTGTTATTTATAGTTCAAAATTTCGTTTGACTGGTCTTTACTACACTAGGATCTGGAAGAGTTGTCATATAAACCCACATTCTGGATGATGTGAAGGATTAGCCAATGAAATGATCTGTTACGGTGAGTTTTTAGGGTGAGGTGCACAGAACTTTGGGTAAACCATTAGAAACGTCAACGCTGATGTCTGATACCACCTTCCACTACAACTGACCAGATCTTCAGGCCATCGAAAGTATAAAAAAAACCGAAACGAAATATAGATCTGTATTTTAATCAGATTCTAAAGATTCTTAACCATTCTGGCTGCCCCCACTGTGGTGTGGGGATCACGTGGCTAAGTGGGTAAGACGCTGGCTCGATAGCCTGGAGGTCGGGTGTTTGATCCATGCATTGGCCAAGAAAGTTCATCCAGATTTTCCGGCGTGGTTCCCCCTTGTCAGTGATGCAGGACGGAGGGCCTGACAACCGAGTTCCTGTGTACACATTGGCGTGCACGTAAAAGATCCTGTGGCAGTTGGAATTCGATATAAGAGTAGGTGATAGTGCCCCTGCCTGGGCAAAATTTCCCTCATAGTACACCGTATGGTGTATGCCCGTCTTCATTAGCCCAGTATAGGAGCAGAACAGTAGGACGTTAAACCCTATTTCATTTCATTTCATTTCATTTCATTTCATTTCATTTCCACTGTGGTCTCTTTCTTCAGTGATATTGTCACAGATGAATCTGCCTTTAGTTTAAGTTGTGTCTTGCAGATGTTTTTCTGCTCATAACTAGAGGGTGAAAATGTAAAATTTTCAGCATGATTGTAATGTCACAGCAACAGGACTGCATTACTTATTTTCATGTTTAGCCTTTAGCAGTAGCTGCACAAAAAATAAAAATGCAGGGTTGATATGTTTATATATATACAGTCATATGTACGGTCACCCAAACTAGGTCATTTCGAATCTAACATGGTTCAATTTTATTACATTAATTCACTTGCGCGCAGGGGTCTTTCTTTAGAAATGGGAGGAAACCCGGAGGTCGTGGGAAAAACCCACGAGCATGGACAGGCAAATGACCCAAAAGACAAAGTTATTATTGGAAGAGAACCTGGAATAAATTTGACACAATTAACCAAGGAATGCTGCTACTTGTCACAAACAATCCTTAAGATAGAACTCATGACTGCATAGATGACAGGCTACGACCTACTCTTATATCAAATTTCAACTGTAAAGGGTTCTTTTACCTGCATGCCAATGTGTACATGGGATCTCGCGTTTCTGTCCCATCCGCACGTCTAGACGCTGTTCTTGCCAGGCCCTCTAACCTGCACCACTGACGCACTGGAAAATCCTGGAGAACTTTCTCGGCCAACCCCTGGAGCAATTCCAGACCTCTTAGTTAGCATGCTAGCACCTTGCTCACTGAGCCAATGCATCTCCCTGTAACAAGTATCAAATCTGCGAATCTGTTGACCTTAAAGGAGCTTAATCGCTAATATTTGGGACCTAGAAATTGACACAAATGGGTCGCAAAGCAACAGGCTATAATAATGTAATATGAACGTATATAAACTGATTTACATTCAATCGTTTCTGTTTTTACTCTAATTTCAAATCATTTATGTTCGGCAAAATATGCCAGAAGTCTCAGTCGCATGACAATCTCTAGTGTCCGGTAATTCAAGTCTACACCAAGAGTATTTATTGCGCATGCTCTCCAGATAAGAATATGTCGTCACTGTTTGATATGACATGTGCAATATGTTTAACCTCGTTCTTTGAGCTCCTTGTTACAAATGACATTGAAACGCATTATGGTATGCGATTTATGTACCAATGGTAAAATGTTTATTTTGTCTTAAATATTGGATATCAGAAGCCCATCGTTTCCCGGTAAGATCAAACCATCAATGTTGATTTGAATTTATAAATAATTTGTGTTTTCAATGTCAAAGACTTTGGCTGATATTGAGTTAGAGACTTAGCTACATGTACTTTAAATTTTAATTATGTTATCTTTATATTTTTCAGATTTTGATGCATTCCGAAACTTTTTGAAACTGTCAATGACTTCATTTGTTACAAGAGTTTCCATTAGATGCCTGAAATGTTGTTATCCAATCAACAGTCATGAAACATAAAAGACATTTAACCGAAAATGAAATCTCTGATGTGGTTTAATCTGAAATATGTAAAAACCCTTTTTTGAAACTAAATATTCCAAAAAAAAAGAGGGCCATCGACTTGAAATATTTCTTTTTCAAAGTTCTCACAAACTGCATCATAGTGTCAAATGGAGATTATTACGTGACAAAGCCTAAACGGCCAGCGTCGGAGAATTTGAGTAGAGCACGGCCTTATATGACACTTAGTTGTGGTGAATACATGTATATATTTGGAGACATTTTTTGACTCGACGTGAGTGTGACGATCAAATTTCCAAAATGTCGAACATGGAATTTTCCAGTAACATGTCCGATGCGGACAATCGTGTAATTTTGAATGTGGGTGGTATTAGACACGAGACATATAAAGCCACTCTGAAGAAAATCCCAGCAACAAGATTGTCCAGGTTGACAGAGGCTTTAGCCAATTACGATCCAGTCTTAAATGAATACTTCTTTGACAGACATCCTGGTGTGTTTGCTCAAATATTGAATTATTATCGGTCGGGGAAGTTGCATTATCCGACGGATGTGTGTGGACCCTTGTTCGAGGAAGAACTTGAGTTTTGGGGACTGGACTCGAACCAAGTGGAACCGTGTTGTTGGATGACGTACACCAGTCATCGAGATACGCAAGACGTTCTCACCATCTTGGATCGCCTAGATCTCGACACCGACAAACCAACGGAAGAGGACATTATGAAAAAATTTGGCCTTGAGGATGAATATAAGTCCGGGGAACTAAATTGTTGGCAACGAATACAGCCAAAAATCTGGGCCCTCTTTGATGAGCCATATTCATCCACTGGAGCCAAGGCAAGTACAAATTATATTTTATTATTACGTTTGTCATGTTCTGATATTGGAATGTTATGGTTTTTGGCAGGGCGTGATTAAGCTTGCATAGTTATTTTTTCGTTCATTTGTTCCTGGAGTTTTACGTCCACTTCCACCAAGGGTGATATCGGAGTTCAATCATTGTTTTTTAAGGCGGGCGATCGCTCTCGAGCACCTGAATCACCTGAATGTTGACCGAGGGGAGTTTTTTTCCCTCACCTTAAAACTGAAAATCGCTCTCCTTGGGGAATGACCCCATTACATGCAGTTATTGATCTTAGAACCATTTCCCATACACACAACTAATCACTCTCCTTAATACCAGATCACTCTCCTTAATTACTAAATCGCCTTTCTTATCGACACTGGGAGAGCTTTTTTAGGGGAGCGATTTTTTCAATTTGTTGATTGAGAGGAGCTTTTTTGGCTGTCCTCTGAAATACAAAAAACAACGACTGCACCATGCCTCCTTTTTCAATTAGATGCTCTCTTTGTCAGCCCTCTGCTCTGTCCAGCACCACGGACAATGGGCAGCCATGCATTATCAAAACTGGGAGAGGGGAGCGATTTTTTCAATTCGTTGATTGAGGGGAGCTTTTTTTGGCTCTCCTCTGAACAACGACTGGTAGTTATTAGAATGTTAACATTTTTATACCTAAAACAATTTAGCAATGTTGCAGAATATAAGATATTTTAGCGCATATCAGAAATTTTCTTGATTCTGAAGTGTGGTCGAATGGACAATAATCCCCCTCTAAATTATCAAGGCGAATTACTGCGTATAAATACATGTATTACAGTGTACATGTGTTCATTTTTGTACTCAATGATCTTCCTCAACTCAAGTCTTTATTGTGAAATATCTTCAAGAAATTCTACACACATGACTATCACCCCATTAGAACGTCTCGTGTTCTAATGAATCAAGCATGGTTAAATGGACAATAAACCCTCTCTTAATATGAAAGAGGAAGTGTTTATTTCCTAATTAAAAACAAAATCTTAAAGTTACAATTTCATATTTTTAAGTTATATTTTTAAAATGTATTAAAATTAAGCCCTAAAATAGATGGTATCTATAAATGGTCCTACCTTGTTAAAGAATAATACTATAATTAAATATTGCCAGTTGAGAATTGGCAAAAATATTATTTTCAACTTCAAATTCAAACGTTTGAAGATAGCTACATGTATTCCATGGTGGGGAATAGGAAAACAAGGGAGGTAATTGGGAGGTAATTGTGTTATTATTTCCGGTGTGAAGATTTTTAAGTGTGGGAAAGATAACCTATGATCGTACATGTATAATAGTGAGTTGACACCCTACTGAGCAAAAGACATAGAAATAATTATATTTTGACTTTCTTAGAAAATATGAAATTGTAACTTTAACAAGAGATGAAAAGAGGAATCTCCAAATTTGACTTATTTAATTATGGGTTTAATAAAGTTTTTTGAATTTTATAAAATTATGCTTAAAAAAAAATTAGGAACGTCGCAGAATGTAAGATATAAATGACAAAATGGAAAGTTTTTCTTTAAACCTTATTCTATTATTTAATTGTCTGTTAATTTTTAAGAACTTAAACATACATTATGCAAGAGCTAAATCTGCCTATTGCCGGTCTTTTTTTGGGGCCTTAAATCTTATTTAAATTATTAATTAGACATTTATTAAACAAAACAAGAACATAATCAACTCTTGATCTCATTGCCAGCCTGGGATATTTACTGGATTAGGATCCGATCTGCTGCCCAACGCTCATTCATGATTAAATCAAAAAATGGATAATCAAGACTTTGTTTTTTATCGAGCCAACTTTAGTAATGATGATCGAGTCTAGGCCGAAACTTCAATTGCTAAATTCTTGGTTCAGAGTGGATCAATTTGACTAAAATTTTCGGCAAATTCCCTTTACATTATCTTGTTTTTAACTATTATAGTGAGAACTGCCAGCTCTTTATCTAATCTCCCATAATGTATCTTTAATAAAATCATACGTAAAATCAGTAGAATGTCGCAGAAAATTGAACGTGTTCCTTTAAACAGAGAATGAATAGAAGTAATTTACTGTGATATACTACATAACCAATGTTTCTTGTAATATATAACCCTTGTATATAACCCATCTTAATGCAGTGAACCATCATGGTGCTGAGATGACTCCGAGTTCATCAAAAGCTTTGATATATTACAGTACCCCAATAGGGAACAATTAATTTGTTATAGCCGTATAGATTGCTATCAGTTCTCACCATAAACAATAATTATATTTTGACCAAGAGGTCAGAAGGTCAACGCTAACGTCATGGCAGCCATTTTACAAATCTCTGTGTTCCTTGTTAATTACACTGTTATGTTCTTGAATGGAAGATAAATAGTCATATATAATTTTCAACTTGTGACTGTATTAAGAAAATAAGATGAAATAACTGTAAATACAGGGGCCGGTTTCACGAAATTTTAACTAAGATAAAATCCAAATTTTAGTAATTTGATTGGATAATATTAAATTGATTTTAGTCCTTAGCCAATCAAAGTTGAAGTATCTACTAAAATTTGTATTTTATCTTTAGTTAAGATTTTGTGAAACAGGCCCCAGATACATGTATATGTGTAGACTACATAACAGTAAGATCAAACCACTCCAAGTTTTGCTTATTTCTTCGGAAAACTGAACAATCTGATTAAAACACAGATCCTATTTCGTTTCGTTTTTTATAGTTCAAAATTTCGTTTTACTTGTCTTTACCACACTAGGATCTGGAAGAGTTGTTATCATTATCGTGTTCTGAATGATGTGAGCTATTAGCCAATGCAATGGTCTGTTACGGCAAGCTTTAGGCTTGGTTTGCACGTAACTCTGGATAATCCACTAGTAGGCTAACATCAATGCTGACTGGTTAATCAAATGTCTGATGTCATAGGGTCAAAAGCCGCTCGTATGACCTCTGATGTGACCTATCGCTACAACAGGTCAGATCTTCATGTACATGTTGTGTAGACCATCGAAAGTATAAAAAAACGAAACGAAATATAGATCTGTATTTTAATCAGATTGGACAATTGAAAGGACTAATTTAAAAACCCAAAGTACGAGGTCCCATGTACACATTGGCATGCACGTAAAAGATCAGTTGGCAGTTGGAATTCGATATAAGAGGAGGCTGTAGTGCCACTGCCCAGGCAAAATTTCCCTCGTAACACAATGTATAGCATAAGCCCGTCTTCTTTAGCCTAGTTGGAGCAGAACAGTAGGGTGTTAAACCCCATTTCATTTCATTTTGTTTTACATTAAAATCACAAATTTAATATTAGGTCCAGGAAAAAAACTACAATTTTTCGGCACCACAATTTACCCAAATCCACCATTATTTCAACTTATTTTGTATAATTTATGCCTATATTTATACCGTTTATAATTTTAAATTAAAAATGAATGGTATATTATCAATGGACCAACATATGGTTCCATTTTTGAAATTTCAATAATTCGCTTGTATATAGGGGTCTTTATTAGCAGTGGGAGGATACCGGAGGACCCGGAGAAAACCCTTGAGGTTGGACAGGCGCCCCCACCCCTTTGTCATGTAATACCGGAGAATCGAAATCAATAACTTACAGACCTTATGATACAATGTGCATGGTGGATTAGGGTAGACTTTGGTAAAACATGCTAGCCACAATTTTAGTCATTTTGTTCGGAAAATATCAGTCAAAAAAGAGATTAATTAACATGATGAGATAGTGCTTCAACTCCTAATAACCTCAGTAGGCGGGATCTCATTTTATGTCGCAACCAGCCATCAACTAAAAAGACTTCACGCAAACAAGAAAGGCTTGAATCTAATGAAGAAATATATATTCTAGAAAATCTCAGTGCATTCATAGACCACATTTTCTTCAATTTGCTAAAATAAAACAACTTTAGCAAATGGATTTCCTAAAAGGATGTTGAAAAAAGAAAAAAATAATTGTAACCCAGTTTTCCTTTGCATATTTGTTCTGAGTATTTCTGTATTACCAAGATGGATGACAGTGACTTTACATCCTGTAGTCTGAGACAAATGCATGTATTGATTTTCATTGGTTGATAATCAAATAACACTTGTTGGCTTGATTAGATTTACTCTCATCTTGTCAATTGATAGAATCAATGTGGACAGCCTTGAAACTTGTTTTTCAGAGGAAGACTTTCAAATCAAATATGTCCGAATGCTGCCAATGTATGCTTGTCCAGTAATATTATTCGAAATTATTTATAAAACTTCGATAATGAGTGATGTTTGTTATATGTCCAAATACTGCTAGATACATGTACTGCTAGATTATGCTTGTCTAGTAATATTATTAGGCTTTCATATTTCATATGAAAGCTTATTGTTTTTGTTAAGATTATTAAGGTCGTCTGTCCAACATCGTGGGTTATACCGGGTCCTCCAGTTTCTCCCCACTGCTAAAGATCCCCTACGCACGAGCTAATTATTGAAATGAAATTGAACCATATGTGTTAGTCCCAAAATGGAGTTTAAACATACATTACACAAGAGCTAAATCTGCCTATTGCAGGTCTTTCTTTAGGCCGGAAATGTTTTCTAAATTATTAATTAGACATAAATTAACTTATCCAGGCCATAATCAACTCTTGATGGCATCGGATTTCTCCAACATTAAATAGATTAGAACATTTCAGCCATATTTTGATTTAAGCTAAAAATGGAGGAGTGACACTTAGCTTCGAACAACCAATACGGTGGTTGAAATTATTGCACACGTCTTATCAAACCTTCAAAGGCTAATATCTTCGCTAGTAATGGAGTAATTTGAATATAATTTTCAAATTATTAATTTTACATGATCTATTTTCAAACTATTATAGCAAGAATGGCTAGCTCTTTTTCTAAATCTTACATAATGTATCTTTAATGTTTTCATGAAGAAGGCTCGGAGATAAATATTATTGCAAATTGTCAATGGAGAACTGAATGAGATTCAGTAATGTGATCTGACTTGCATTAACCCCTCTCGTATAAAATAGTCCATAAAACAATGTTGACGT